AATTATAAAAATATAAAACTAGTTCATGTTTTCTTCTAATTTGTCATATATGTTGATGCTGGTGTGGAGAGCAGAGGGGTGCCTGTCTCTCCTATTTATATGCCTGCCTGCTACGAAAGCGAAGCCCGTTAGCTAGTTTCAGTGCAATTGCCTAGGCACTCCGTGCCGCCTTCACTGGATTCTTTTTCTTTGCGTCGAAGCAGAGTACCGCCCACGAACCCAACCGAATAGAAAAATGAAAAAAAAACCGTTCAGACCACCAGATTGCACGAAAAGCTTGCAGGTTGCAGCTACCTGCCGTTTTGACTGTTGAGAGCGATGTGGGCCACAAGATGCAGAGAATCGCTTTGCGTGGTGGACGGCTGCGATTGCGCCTGGGTTGGTTCGAGACTTGACAGACCACCAGGTGGCACTAGTGACTAGTCAAGATGGTTGGCAAGACCAGGTGGTGATAGAGTGATAGACCGGCTTGACAAATTAATCCAGTGGCGGTCGGAAAATGGTTGCCAACAAAGGTGTCGTCTAGTCAAGCCAGCTTCACCGATCATCACCCGCAAAAAAACAATTCATCAATCATAGATTCATAGACATGATGTGTGGGTGTGGCCATCCAGTAGGTTCTTTCCTTCTCATTTTCCCGACAACAACATCAAGAGCATTTGTTCCTGATGCGGAGATTCCGAGCTGAAAATTTCTCTTCCTGTGTTCTTTATATTACCGGGTGACATACGAGATTCTTTTTCGTTTGGCAGATCCTTTTGGAACCGACTTGCTACTACTACTCCATTGAAATTGCTATCAGACGCATCAGCTTGACTCGGTTGCTTTGCCAGTTTGGGTTTCGTCCTCGTTACGCCGCAACCTTTTCAACTCTTTTTTGGGTCTTGAGATATTCTTGTGGAATTGCTGGAGTTGAAGGTGTCTGAAATTCTCTGTGACAAGTGTGTTCGGGGAGTAAACTTGGCGGCAATACAGACGGGCCGGAATACATGGTGTACTCCAGCCCATTAAGCTGCTGGCCCAAACCGAAAATAGAAGCCCAGACAAAGAATTGCGTGGGCAAGACCACGGATCAACAAAGCCCAAACGCCAAGGTGAGACTTCTTGGTTCGAGTGCTCGCCCGCCCGCCCTAGGGTTCGACTTCGCCGACGTTGTTCACTGTCGTGAGGAATTTTGGCCACGACACTACCCGTTCCCCCTTCCCCTGTCCGGCTCGGGCTGATCAAGGGGCCGACCTTGCTCGGCTACCCCGGCCTTGGCAGGATCAGAGACAGCGAGATCGTGGTTTGTTATGTTGGCACGTGATGGTGATGGCGCCGTCCAGGGAAGATGGTGACCTGGAAGATCTGCTCAAGGCTCTGGACCTTCGTGAGGCCAGACGCGATGAGGTCGTACTGGGGGAGGAAGAAGTGATGAAGAAGACAACCACTGATGATAGGGCGGCCTCCCACGAGGAGTCTTGCCGCTCCCAATGAGTTGCTTAAGCTGGAACTGTCGTGGACTTGGCAATGTCGTGACAGTGCTGTGCGTCCTCGAAACACAGGTTCTCATATCACGGGTGGAGGGGTTAAAGAAGACACTAGGCTATGATAATGCTTTTGCAGTTGGTAGTAATGGCCGTAGTGCTGGTTTGGGAAATTTTTTGGAATAACAATATTAATGTGTCACTTTTACCGTTTTCACATTATCACATAGATGCTATTGTTACATAGGGTGGAGCTGACCCTTGGAGACTTACATGTGTTTATGGGGAGGCGCAGGTAAGTGAACGTTATAAGACTTGGGACATGCTCAAGTTTATTAGATCGTCATCTCCTTTACCGCAGGTTTGTATTAGAGACTTCAATGAAGTTTTACATCGATCGGAACATGTCCGCGTCCAAGAGAGAAGCGCTTCGCAGATAGCAGCATTCCGTGAGATGGTTGATGTTTGTGGCCTGAACGATATCGGTTTCAGTGGGCGGAGCTGGACCTTCGAGAAGAAGGTAAGTGGTGGATCCTTCTACCGATCGAGTGCGCTTGGATCGTGTGCTTGTATCGGTGAATTGGAGTTCAATTTTCCCTTCAACAGCGGTGAGACACTATGCAGCGGCGACCTTGGATCATGGGAAAGATAGTGCTGACCTGGTGCAGAAAAGAGGAAACGACGACGCTTCATATATGAGGTTGTGTGGGAAGCACATGAGACATTTTCGTCTACTCTAGCCGAGTCATGGCACCGCTTGTAGTATCGTACAGCCTCCATGTGCTCAAATGCATGCTGTAGCAAAGAGCAGGCTCGTAGACAAGGACGTGCAAGCTGCTCGACCGAACAGGCACCATAATTACTGGGCCCTATATTGCAGCCGTTTAAGTTTTCCAATCGCGATAGCCTAGCCTATGCTTGTGTCCAGTGGCGGAACCACCCAAAAAAAAAAGTATCATCATATTTGTCGCTGTCTGTGTCCCTGCTAGACTCGAAGATTCAGTACAATCTCGGGTCTACCAAAAGTTCCCCCTCCCCGGGCGCTTGCGTGGGCGTGGGAGCTAGCATGCTCGGCTGGGGTGACCGGCCCGAACATGTACTGTATTGAAACTGGCGTGATTAACTGCAGGGTCGTCCCACAAATTTCATAGGCCCTTGGGCCAGCAAGACACTAAGGGTCCGGCAATATAATATTTGAATAGGATGAATAAAGTATATAATTTATAGCATATATTTAATTCTTCTTGAAAAGATAACAGTACATCAAAAAAGATAAAAAACGACAAAATAACTATGATGGTTACTTCAATAAAACTACGGTGCTTCAATGCTTTTTAAAAAAGCGTCTTCGGGCATTTCTTGATGCAAAATCTTTAAGAACATTTTCGAGATCAATTGTATCTAAAAAAAGTACTGAACTGCAATCAAATTGATTTGTTTATTTAAGAGGCCGTTGCCGTGAAGAGGATACCGATACCTTTGCCAACTTTCCGCCCTTGCGCCGCCGTGAAGAGGGATGCTGATAGCATCTACTCTACAGTATACACATGGGTATCCTCACGCCCATGGGCATCATGAGCAGCCCCCTATAGGACGGGCCTGATTAACTGTACCGTCCTGCACAGCCTGACACCCGGTGACGCCGCCACAGCTTTTTTTGTGGAGGGGATTTCCGTTCATTTGTGATTTTTCTTAAAAATTCAAAATTCACGCCTGGCAACGCCCTCGATAAGGACGGCGCGCCATATCATATCTAGAAGAAATCTTCACGATTGTTAGCCTGGACGGCTGGAAGATCCCACGCAAATCTGCAAACACGCACTCACGATCGAGAAAGAGAATAAGCTAAATAACTATCCGTATTGGATAATTTTAAGCCTAAATAATCTATAAGATAATTTTAAATACAAAACGAAAGTCACAGCAGTCGAAAGCCAAAAATTTTCGCATGGATTGGATCGGATTTACGCCAGTGTTGGACTGCATGGGTTTGGGTATTTTGAACCTGCAAATTGGTTTGGATTGGATAGGTATTCTTTTGTTTCACTGTAACCTTTACTGGATTTCATTTGGATTGGTTTCACTGGACACCGGGATCTTAATCCATTTCTAGGTCTAGGCGTGGGATTAAGACTGCTTCTTTTGTTTGGTTGTGGGTATACAGTTAAAGTTAGCAAAATATTTGGACCCATAATTAAAGGTTAAAGAGCTATACAGTAGTATGATCAGGAAGTTTTAGTGTAGTCATTTTCCATGCGGATCAAGAAGTTTTCTTTTCCCGGGGTTTGGACTGGTAAAAAATCGTAGAGTACGTGATGATGTGGCCGCCAAGTCGTCGGGTTGGCCAACCCGATGCCATCGTTCGCTCGAAATACTGTTTTGGCTGATTTGTTGTGAGAGAAAAACGTTGTTCCGGCTGATTTAGTTGAAATCTTAGCTTAATATATGGTGACTATTGTTGAAGCTTATGTCTCATGATGCGATGAATCTATATCTGGATTTTCATATTTCTGATATTATTAATTAGTTGCTATAAAATTTTATCCTCAAGTTAAATTGAAAATCTTATGCTTAATGTATCTTCAACAAACAATTTTATATTTAGTTAACTCCCTCCTTTTGTATTTTCACTAAAAAGGATAAGGACTTTTCATCATAGGCTGTACTCTTAAGTACTATGATACAATAACGGTTATTTAAACCTACATCACACTTGTATCACACTGCTCAAAATCAGTGGTGTCTTCAAGTGAGATTTATGATGGGACCGGGCGTTAATCTGAAGAACAGGTGATTGATATTAATGTAATTTTAAATAATTTGTTAGTATCATTCATATATGATGAGTAGATAAGAGAGGATTTTTCATGAGTGCTAATATGTATATTTATTGCTCATGCATAAATGTGTACTTGATCTGCACGATGCTACACCATGCACACATTTACTTTAGCCAATTTTAACATTAATTAATAGGAGTGGGTACGTTGGACGCAGGGGTTTAAGGCTTGGTAATGTATCATACTCTAACAAAACTTCAGTTATAGTTTGGAGATGAAAACCCTTTTGTTAACGCAACAAACCACAAATGTTGACATGACTGCTTGAGGTCTAGCCCGAGGTATGGCTTCACCTTTCATTTTTCTTATCCTCACAACAAGTGCACATGAATAGACACTCATATAAGCTGAGTCATTTTGTAACCAATTTTTGAAATGTGATTAATTTTGTATTACTTTTAGCATTTATTATGGGACTTTGAATTTATTTAATTTAGTTGAAATAAAGCCGAGCATAATTAAATCTAACAGATATAGTTAGATCATCATTATTATTGACACGAGCTGCTGGTTTATATAACCGCATAACAAATTGCACATTATATGGCAACGCATAGAGTTGATTACTGGCAGAAAAACTAAAATATGTACTACTCGGATCCTACCCGTAGGTACGTACTCCGTATGCAATGGTTTGTTGTTGTCCACTTGTCTATGCGTTATGGAGGCTGGAGCAGGTGGTGTCCTGCCGCGTCTAGCAGCCGTAGCAGTAGCACCGGTAGCCGACAGGGTGGCAGCAGTGGTGGTAGAACATAGTGACCGGCTGCGGCTGCGGGTTGGATGACGCCGCGGCGTCCACCGCCGCCGCCGGCTTCTTGTCGTCCTTCTTGACCACCTCGCCGACGTGCAGGAGGTCCGCGTGCCCCACCTTCTTGCGCAGCGCGCTGGTGAGCTTGATGGAGTCGACGCCCTCGCCGATGACGACGACCTTGTCCCTGCCTTCGCCGTCGAGCGCCACGGAGTCGACGCCGCCCGTGGCCGCCGCCAGCGCCATGGCCTTGGACCGGCACTTGTCGCAGCACATGCACACCCTGATCACGATCTTTTGCTGCGCGGATCGACGACGACGTTAGCGTTTGAGCCAAAGAACAGATCAGATCAATACCTGCTGCAAATGCCAAACAATCGGTGCGGTGCGGTGCGGCTATGGTATGCGTACCTTCATTTTGCTGAGCTCAAGGTAATCGAGGGTTTCTTGTGAGTCCTGTACCTACGTTGCTGCACGTAGAAAGAGACGAAGTGCGTGGGAACAGGAGTCTGCTGTGCTGCGACCTGAGAGCAGAGCCCGTGCTGTGGTGTAGTACTATTATATAGTACTCCAGCAGTAGTCCAGCTGTGTAACGTACGCTGGGTGACTTGATCCAGGCTGGCCTTGTCCAGGCAAATTTCAAGTTTTTTATTTTTTATTACATTTCTTTCAAGTTTACCTAGATAAAAAATAACCATACACAGTTTATTTAAATCACATGAATCTTTTGATAAAATATCATGATAAGATAAATACAAACTAATTACATGATGTTCAAAGTTGTAAAATTTACAATCTAAACGAGGCCTTAGTTCTTTCTTTCAAGTTTACTCCCTATCCATCAAATATTTAACACATACATAAAATATCAAATATAGATAAAAAATAACTAATTACATAGTTCGTGACTAATTTATGAGACGAATCTTTTAAGCCTAATTAGTTCATGATTTGACAATGTGTTGCTACCGTACAAATGTGCTAATGACGAATTAATTAAACTTAATAAATTCGTCTCGTGGATTACTAACAAATTCTGTAATTTATTTTTTATTAGTATCCAAACACCTCATACGACACCCCATGTGACATTCAATATAATATTTAAAAACTTTTTCGATCAACAAATAGTATTTTTCTTTTACCATAAATTAACAACAGCCACGACTTATCAGCACAAATCTCCTGCGCTAGCGGACGCCATGACGGATGACACGTTCGATCGGGCTTGAATTGCGGGTACTTGTTCAACAGCTGCGATGGGATGGGATGCCTCTCTGGCGTGTTCAGTTCACCCTAAATTTCCAAAAAGTGCTACAGTTTCTATCACATCGAATGTTTGCGGTCTATGCATGGAGCATTAAATGTAGATAAAAAAAATGAATTGCACAGTTTGATGAGAAATTACGAGACGAACGTTTTGAGCCTAATTAGTCCATGATTGAACACTAATTACCAAATAAAAACGAAAATGCTACAATAGCTCCAAATTCCAACTTGCTGGAACTAAACACGCTCTGATTTTTCTGCGGTTGGTGCCCGCTTGGTGGCCTTATTATTATCAGTGCTTTTCAATGATTCATGAGGGCGGTTGGTCGACAGATTGTACTATCTTTGTTCCTCTCGATCTGAATAATTAATGTTACTACGTGGGAGCTGACCTGAGCTTGACCTCGCTCCAAGTCAAGTCAACCATTGGATTGATTTCATTTAGCGCGTGGGCTATTAGGAAATACAGTAAGTGACATGTTCATCTTCCTATTAGTTGTCCTAAACTAAAAACACCTGCGTCTGGCTTTGCCGCGCCAATGTCGAGCTAGCCATGTATATATACAGAGGGTTAATTAAAATCCGTTGGATTTTCCACCTTTGGATTCGACATCGCGGCATCTTTCTACCATGGTCAGCGGCACATCTTCGCTAACAAGTTGACCATGAACTCTGGGTTCAAACAAGGTTTCAGGTTCAAATTATTAGGAGTGAGGGGTTTTGTGGGGAACTTTTGGTTCAAAGGCTATAGAGCAATGGTCGAGGGAGGCCACCGACCGAGTCGCAGGGGCACTGGCCTAGTGAATAACATGGTGGTGGAAGCCACCAAGGCCAAATTTGAAAGCAGTGTGGGAGCAAAACCAAAGGACGAAAAATGTGTTATGAAAATTTAAGGTGTTAACTAAAACGGTAATGCTTGGTTGAGGATGTCCGGACCGACGGACGGACCGACCCCACATGCGTTACGCTCAATAAAAAAAAGGACGCGTAGTTACGGTAAGGCGTGATCCCTCACCCTATGAGTGCATGCGGCTACTCATTGGGGGTGCATGCGGCGCATGGGGCTGTGCATGCGCGTGGAGGATTGGCTGCCTGCTGTGTCCACTGCTAGTGGACCAGCCGGTCTGACCCAGGGCCGGCCCTGAGGGCGGGCAAGCGGGGCGACCGCCCTGCCCCCCGCCCCAGGTGTATACACTCAGTACATAGTTGTATTAGTTTATGGCTTGGTTGGCTCGTTAAGGCCTATGACAGCCTAGCAGGGAAGAGCTAGAGATTGGCGTTCCCAATTTGTCGACTCTATGACTGCGATTCCTCGATGCCTACGGTCCACGCGAGCGACACCGATGGAACCCTCGCGAGTCATGACTCGTCATCTCGGAACCAACTCGGCAAATCCCCGAACGCGATGCAGCAAATGCTTCGTGCAGTGAGAAAAGAATTATTTGAGATCTACAACGTCTCAAGAGAGATTCAACATTACAAATTGCATTCATCAGTGTGATCAACAATACAGAGCAATTATTTTCTACAGATTTTAGCAAAATTTATTGGGGTCGGCGGACCTCGTCAAAGAGGCCGAGCTCCATCCCTGGTCAAAAGAAAATTTTAGGTAATTTAATATGTATGAGTTGTTTTTATGAATATTTAAGTGTTTAGTAGTAACATTTTGTCATTCATAGTCTCAAAACAAAACATTTCGTGTTCATGTGTTTTTTTCTCGAATACGCAAAAGAGTTTCATCGTTCATGTATATATAAGGGCCCCAAATCTTGGGTTCGCCCTGAGCCCCTGAAAACTCATGACTAACCCTGGTTGCAAGTGTACGTTTCAAATGTTTCAATTGTTTTAAACGTATGTTGTAAGTATTTTATCTAAATATTGCATATCTTGCACTTACATGTATGTTGCAAGGATATGTTTTAAATGTTTCAGCTATTTCAAACGTATGTTGCAAGTATTTTATCTGGATGTTGCAGATGTTGCAGTGGCCATACACATATGTTGCAAGCGTATGTTTGTAAAAACTTTAGTTGTTTCGGACGTATATTGTAGCAAATGTTTTATGTTGCAAGTATTGCATGACCAGGCGTGGAAAGTGGGTGCAGATGGAGGTGGTCCTCTCGTGCGTGTGGGAAGCGAAGCGGGCGCGACGGCCCCCACATGCACGCACAGGTGCACGCGTACCGTAGTAGCAGGCGAGGCCAGGCCGGTAGGCGCAGCAGCACGCGGACAGGTGCGACAGCAACGTGTCAACGGGCAGGCAGGAGCTGCATGTATGCGCTATAGGGACTGCCTAGGCAAAGTGGGAGGCGGAGGCGCGGTGCGCGCGTCCCTTCCGTTGGCCGCATGCATCCAGGTAAGTGCGCCTCCTGTGTCATTTCCTACCGCATGTAGAGGGAGCGTGTCAGGCGCGTGGGCTAGCAGTAGGCGCGGGCATGCAGACGTCGAGCGCTATTCATTCTTTTTTATTGCCTTCAAGATTCCTATGGAATTGTTGGAATTAAATTTGTCTCGATTTCGTTGCCTTTTTCTCCGAGGAAAAATGTGATCGTAATGTAAACTTGGCGGCAATACAAAAAAAGGACCAGAATACATGATGGAATTTGGCCCATTAAGCTGGTGGCTACAAACAAAAATAAAGCCCATCTAACTCTATATTCATCGTCGGCTCCTCGCCTAGAAACCACGTCCACGTCGCCCAAAATAGCCACGACCGTCCGATCTTCCATCGTGTGGCCCGGATTGCTTGCAGCCGCTTCGTTTAGAATCTGCCTTTTCCAGCTCCTTGTCGCTCTCAGTGGATTCTACCAGCTTCTGCTTGCTTCTCGTCTGAATCCGGTAGAGCAAATATATACTCCGGCTTCTGCTTTTCCTTTAGGAAACTTCTCTCCCCTCGTCTCTCTCTCGGTCTCTCCTCTTTGCTCGCTCGCTCCCTCCCCTCCCGACGCGACCGAGCGGCGGCGCGAGGCCAGCTCGGCGGTGGCCGGCTAAAAGTGCATTTGCCCCCTATGTGGATTTTGGATGGTCATCGTGCTGATGGGAAGACTATTTTGTTGAAGCCCTACTACTATGTGCTAAACAACATCCTCCATCAGATCTTGTACCACAAGATAGGTGACTCTATCAATCTCCGTGAGGATTCACAAGTTGTCCTTGATTGCTTTGGAGATGAGTTCACCAAGTTCTCCATCAGCCATTATATTTGGGATAAGATCTTCGTCGCTAGTGAGGATGTGATGAAGCACTACCCCTATGCTCCATTCATCATGCATATCATTGAGCATGTGTCCGGCATTCACTTCCCTTCTGATGTCCCTCACAAAGTCCTCACGTTGTCCAATAAGACGTCACTTCAGGCAAATCAGGAATTAGCGGACCTCGCTAAGGGCAAAGGCAAAGGTGTCTCAGGCTCCTCCTCACGAGCTTCTCCACCACGTGCTTCGTGCTCTCGCCGTGCTCATAGTGAGGAGTCTCAGTCCTCCTCATCCTCTGGTGGTAAGCCCCCCAGCAAGTTCCAGTTCTTCATGAAATATATGTTTGGAGCTTGTTGTGCTAGTGCTGAGCGTGAGCAAGAGATGCTAGTGAGGATGCATCGTATTGAGCAGAAGCTTGACATTCCCTCCGCTCCGCCTCGGGCCTTGGAGCCACTTCATGATCCTTTCAAGCTTTATGATGAGGCTTGCAAGGAATACTATGGAGAGTCGTCCAATCAGCCCCGTCCCCATGGTAAGTCGCAAATGGATGTTGATGAAGAGGAGTACCAAGAGGAAGATGATGACGATGATGATGATAATGATGGTGGTGGTGACCAAGACGATGATGAGGACTAAGATGAGGAGTAGTCATTTCTTTCACGCGGCCTACCCCTTTTGACACTTGTTGACAAAGGGGGAGTGTTAGGCTTTGATCTTATTGTAATAAGTTAGTTGGTCGCTTAGAGTTGGTCGCTTAGAGCTTGTGAGACTTTAAAACTTTTA